GTCCCTGGGTCGGGGGGGCAGCAGGCGCCTGTTCCCGGCCCGGGGCGGCGGGCGCTGAGTGCGGGTCGCTTGTGCCAGCAGCCCCCGGTGGCGTTCGAGGACGTGGCTCTGTATTTCACCCGGGCGGAGTGGGAGCTCCTGTCCCCGCCGGAGAAGCAGCTGTACCGGGAGCAGATGCTGAGGAATTACCGGGCCCTGGTTTCCCTGGGTAAGGACCAAGTTCCCTTTTACTCACTGCACTAACACGTCCCGGCTGTCTGGACACCTCGACTGATCTGTGCCACCGAGTGGCCAAGTGGTGGCCAATGTCTGCCCCTTTCAGGGCGGCTTCCTGTTAAGAGAAATCAGGGCTACGGCGCCTGGGGGTAATTTTACTGTGACTTGTTTAGTTGCATTATGTTCCTCAGTCCTGGCACAGAAGTGGTCGCACATAGCCCATGAGCAACAACCTCTTCCAGGAATCCCTGCACAGCCACTGGGAGCAGCAACTTTGACTCAGGAATTAACTCAGGCAAATCAGGCAGGGAGAAATGTCTCCTGCTGCTTGTAACAGCTCCCCACCGCCCGAAAACAATGAAGAACGTCATTCACATAACCACCATACAATTGAGCAATGTTTGAACCCCAGCAAAAGAACTGGTAGATCTCCCTAAGACTATCAAGAAGGATCATACAAATTGCTTCTTCATAGTACAGCCTGAACTGACCTGTTTGGAGGTGGAAAGACATTTCTAAGGAAGGTTTATTTTATTAGTCTCCTGTTTGGGAATCGCTTGTGGTATCGTCTGAAGGAGTGACAGACGCACCCTGACCAAGAATGGGGCCTTGTTGTGCTGGGCTGCACAAATGTATGAATCCCTGACATCAAAACTTTAGAAATAAAACTGATTCTTCCCCCAAACAGGCTATTCAGGTTCCACACCAGATTTAATCCACTTGATCGAGCGAGGGCAGGCAGAACTCTGGATCCAGGATGCCGAGGACTCCAGAGAAAGATCAGGGCCTGAGAGCCCCTCCTCGGGTGAGTTCTAATAATCCAGTCCCTTCTGATTTACAGATCTGCTAGCGGATGGTTCATTAATGTAGCAGGCAAAGGCAGAGTGAGCTCCATGGGTGGGAAGCAGAAGGGAGTTACATTGAGGCTGGGAGTTAAGGACCAGGGTTTATGTAGAGGGGAATGAAGTATTGGGAGAGCTCCCTCCGTGGGAGTCTGTCTGTGGAGATGGGACCTATCTCTCTCAAAGTTCTGCTCTAACTCTGTCAGGAGTTACTGTGCTGCAGGCAGGAATGGCTAGGGGAGATTCTTTGGCTTGGATTAGGCAGGAAGCCAAGCAGAATGGGCACAATGGGCTTTTTCATATCTATGAATCCTAGAAAGGTAGGATTAAAAGGGAAATAGGTAGGTGATCGAGTCCAGTCCCCAGCACTGTGCCAGGGCTAAGTATGACCTAAACCAATATTCCACAACCTTTTTTTTTTATAAAGTATTCCTTTATGAAAAGGATATTTTAGGGCCTGGCCTGTGTATGTCAAATGAGCACTAATTTAGTTGTAAGTGTAAAAGGAAGGCACTATTGTCAAGTGTGGAAGAAAACAAGCCTTCGCTCTGCGTTTGTAAGCAACAAGTAGCCAGAGGCAGTTTTATTATGAGCTGCAGCAAGGGAAAACTGGTTCGGATCGGGGAAGGGGGGGCAAGCCCCCCGAGGCAGATCTTCGAATACAAGCAATTATGAAGAAGTTTATATACTGTCCATTAGATATAATAACAACAAACAATTAGTCTCCTTCCTATTACAAACACCAATGGCTAACAGTTATTTTAGTTCCACCCAGATGCTCCTTATCTCAAGGTCCCTGCCAGAGTCAGCGTTCTATCCTTATCTCCGTATGGAGGCGAAGGCAGTGTCTTATTTCAGCTTTCCCGTTGTCAAGAGTCAGAATTAGCTTGACTCTTGCTTCACTGCTAACAAACCTGAAATGGCTGCATACCAATTCCCTGTGCCTCCACACAAGATAGAGGAGATGTAAACGAAAAACCAGAATTTGATTGGATGTCCAATAATAACCCTGCTTTTAGGGAAGTAAAAGTAACAAAAACAGCAAAAGCAACAAAGTGCTGATAACCCCAAATAAGAAGTAGACAGAAGTAAAATACAACTTCTAAAAAGGCAGAATGAGACAACAAAAACTAACGTCAGCATAGTCAGGTGAGAGGAAAGATACCGAAACAGGGTATTAAAGGTTGAACTAAACAGACCAAAAGCAGATGGGCTGCAAATCCAAAAAAGCCAGGTTTGATCAACCAGGACTTTCTCCCCAGCGCTGAATATCGCTGCCACTCATAAGCTCTGAAAGGGGAACACTGGTCATAAGTTGCAACGAAAAATCCGAAAGACAAAAAGAAAAGAATATCTCCTGAATCTAAACAACACTTCTATCCGTCTTAATATAAGTATTGTATAGGTATGTCTGATAACTCCACAAACTGTTCAAAGGTAACTTAGGAGGGTATAGCTGTAGGAGGGGTTATTGTTCTCGTCTTAGCTGTACTGCTTTTTCTACTCTTTATTTGTATGTTACGCTGTCTTAAACAAATTAAAGATAGTGAATTGATTTAAATGAAAAATTAATTATAAAAGTAAATAGAAATAAAGTCTTTGGTGTGGAAGCAAAGATTTGTGCGCAGCCATCTTAGGGTGTCAGTAGCAGAGCAAGACTCCGGCTAAGTCTGAGTCTGACAACGCGAGAACTGTAAGAAGCACTGCTGCCTCTCGCCTCCATACGGAGATAAGGATGGAATGCTGACTCCAGCAGGAACCTTGAAGATAAGGTAGCATCTGGGAGGAACTAAGAAATACTTGTTAGCCATTGGTGTATATAAAGGGAAAGTTACAGTATAATACTGGCTCTTTACTGTTTGTATTCAAAGATGTGCTAGCTGCAGCTTCCCTTGCAACTGTAAGACAATAAACCGCCTCTCACCTGTTGCTAACAGACGCAGAGTGAGGACAACATTCTTCCACATTGGTTAACCCCAAAGGGAAGTATTCCTCTGTCTGTGGTATCAAATCCTTTAAAGAACCAAACACCGGTTACCAAAATGGCAAAACGAACAGGATTTGACGAGAACAGAGGGTGCCCCTTTGATGGGTTAAACAAGATGGAAGGTACAGAACCTCTCAACCACTGGTTATATCATAAGGATGAGGGTGAAGAACACATGCTCAAAATAGGAGCAGTAGTATCAATAGCGGAAGAAAATCATACATATACCCTACCTATACGTAACACATTCAGGGTTGAGATGTTTAATGGCTAATAATGATCCAGTGAAATGGAAGTTAAAAGATTGCAAAGTACCATTACCAGACGTAACGCAAAAAACCCAATATAAAGAAACAGATTATAAAAAAACTACAAAACATATTAGAAAGAACAGCTGATATGACAGATCCATACCGAAAATATTTAAAATGCCAAGTCAAACAACTGACAAATTGATGAGAGAGGTACTAGAGGACCTTATAAGATATGCTAGAGGAAAGAAAAAATTAACAGCCAACAAATGGGATCCAAATAAAAGGGTCTGTGTACTTTGGGACTTGTTAATAAAAGCCGGAAATACAATAACTAGATTAGAAGGCACAGTAAATACCCTACAAGCCTTATTAAAAAAGGAAAGTCAGGAGCGAGAGAAAGAGGAGAAATAACAGAAAAAAAGAAATGATAAAACCAATAGCCACACCCCCTTCTTATCCTGAATCAGTCATAGAGGAAAATCAAAAGAGGGAAAGGAAAAAAGTAGCCAAAGGGGGTGTGTACCCATGGGATATGCTAATGGAAGGAATATGCACGGAAGAATGTACATGTGGGTTAAGAATAGGAGAAGATATAGGATCAGGGAGTGACCCAATCGAGACCCGCCCAATAACACAAACAGTATATAAACAGAGAAGAGGAGGGCCACCAACGGCCAGTACTGAAGTTAGGGATAGGACCCGAATAGAAATGAATGATCTTATAAGTCGAACCCGAAGGGGATCAGGAGAAAACCCGATTTTGTGGGTAGGAAGGTTGTTAATGGAAAACATGAATGAGTTAATCTCACAAGCAGAACTGACCATATTAACAGGAAATCCCGGGTACTTGGGCGGTCTAATGAAAATGAGTGCCATACGAGGAAACCAAGACTGGCCATTAACTTTACCAGCCGCTGTACCCATATCGATAGCAGCCATAGGGCAAGGAGGGGCCATAACAGAGGGCTCCATAAAGATGAAGGAAGATGTAAAAGCTGCAGCCATAGGAATCTCCTTCCTGTTTTATCAACCCACAACAATAGCCCAACAACAATTTACAGCACCACAGAGAGCTGATCCAATTTAAGTATATAGGGGATCGAGCAATGATAACCACAGATAAACAGCGCAGATGGTATGGCAAGGAATAGAAAATAAGGAAGGAAACCAAAGCCTGAAATTATGGCTAACAGCCCTAACAGGGAGTAGCGTATGGGGACTATTGGAAACTAAATGATTTAGAAGTAGTGCACAGACATACCCCAGTACCAAGAGATGAGCCCCCGAGAGACCGCGTAAAACATGCAAAAGTTTCCAAACCCCGAAGAAGGGGAAAGACCCAAGTAAGGAAGAACTATGGAAATAATATCACCAACCTTTGCGGGTCAGAAAAATACTTGGGCAAAATTGTATTTTTTT